ATCCGACCTTGTTCCTCTGTGAGCAGTGGTCCATATTTCTTCTCGCGAAATCGCACCGCGCGGCTGGAGATAGGCAACGACTTAATCTGATCACTGGGTCTTGCACCCACAGCGAGAGCTGCTCTGTTCCTCGGGTCCCGAGGCTCCACTGTCTCAATCATTACCCGTGTCCCGTCTGGCTTCTTAATGGACAATGTTTGACTCCCATCAGGTCGCTCTATCGTCACCGCATGCACGTGGCTCAGCCACGTTCGACCCAAGAGCAGGTCGGAGCTGCAGTTCTTGACTGCAAAGACAGGCAGGGTCACTCATACCCCTTGGACCTCTATGGCTGCCTTGTGACAAACTCCAGTGATCCGTTGCTTTCTCCCATCAGCCGTCTCTATCTCGAATAGGTATGACCTATCGAGGCCCAGTCCAACTTGTACCGCTAGGTCCTCGTCTATGATGACAGCCTCACTGCCGTTATCAATCACAGCATCGAGTACCGCTCCATCGTTTATAATCGTCTCCACGGCTCCGCTACCAAGTATATAAAACTTGTTTGGAGGCACACCTTCCATTCCATCGAGAAGGACGGTCGCCATGCGATCCGCTCTGGCAGTCACCCCCGTTACTGCTACTGTAGAAGCTTCCGTCTTAGGGTCCCCCTGACCCTCCTCCGATAGAGGTATGCGAGTCTTCCGCGTGATCATCTGTAACTCATCACGATCCGGCTTCAATGCAGCCAGGTACTCCAGAATAGAGCACTGCATGGGTTGCCGAAGGGCCCGCCTCAGTGGCTCGACCGTGTCAATCTCGTCCAGCGAACTCTTCATTAAGAACTTCTTCACTCCCCGCTTTCGCGGTGAAAGGATAACCTCCTCTCCATCGACCCGCTGCCCGTCCTTCTCCGCCATCACGTAATCCGTGTCAGTTTTTTTYGATGTAAACGCTCTCGCCGACTTGGTGGCTCCCACCCTTATGGGTGTGGTCGCCATGTCCCCCTCAAAGGTTATCTTGATGCTCTGGCTCCTGACCGGCTCCATTCCTTTACTCGTCCTTATTCTCCTTGCTTCGACATTCTCCTTCATCGAAGGGAACATCGATACATCTTCGAGATCATCTGCCCACTTGACGTACTTACGGTCGTCAAGCACGACAAGTCTCTCTTCTATTGCCCGTTTGAGGTCCGGGCAATCCCTCTTGATATGATCTTCTCCTCTACAGTAGACGCATGAGTTCCTGGGAGTAGATGCCCTGTCGTCTGCACCTCTAGAGATCGAATTCCTGGCCGCCTTGGGGTCAGGCGACTTTGAATATGGCTCTGATGAGACGCCATATCCCCCTCTCTCATTCCGACCGCGCGAATCGTTGCGCCGGTCTCCTCCAGACCCTCCTTGCTCATACCGCCCTCGTGAATCATTCTGGCGGTTCCCCGAGTCATATCGTCCTCGTGACTCATCGCGTCGGTCCCCTCGGTTGTACCATCCCCACGACTCGTCGCGCTGCTTTTCGCTTCTCCCTCGCGCTCAAACCGTCCGCGCGACGCATCTTGTCGTTCCCAGTCCCGATCTCCTCTCTCATATCTACTTCCTCTGTAGCCATCTCGACCCGACCTGTCGTATCTGTCGTCCCTATATCCATCTCGGTCCGATCTCTCATATCTGTCGTCCCTATATCAATCTCGTCGACTCTGTTCTGTCTCCCATCGGCCGCGGGAGTCGCCTCTACCCCGATCGGCCTCATAGCGAGGGCTTCGCGGGTAATCATCCAGCCTCC